AAAGCCACTGTTTGCAACTTCCTTTAAAACTGGTTGATGTGGATATCTGAAGGCTGTCCTTCATGATAAACTGTTCTTCTGCACCTTTTACTCATCATCATCTGATGATTTCTGTGTTTGCCGATGTACATCAAATTCTGCTATTCTGGTCTGTCTGGCTATTTTTGTTTTCCCTCATGAGGATGCTAAAGCATACTAGACTTATGAAATTATTTTGTTCTGCTGCTGGAACCCCTATTTGCATTGTTGTCCACTATACTGTAGTTCTATTATTTGAAGAGCGAGATTGCTTCCCTAATATGATGCTACTCTGTTAGCATTTCGCTTGGTATATAGGCCAAATTACCAAAAAAAGCCATATTCGTTGTACATTTTCCCCAACCTTTTCAAATTTAGCCCATTTGGAGCACAATAAGAACATATATCACTGATTCCCATTGCCTTCTGGGCCATAACATACTTGTTTCTTTTTATTTTCCTCAAAAATTGTTCGAATTCCATAGATAATATAGGAGTTGCCCCACCCATGCGTAAATATCTCATAGTAGCCTCATTAGACTGTATGTCTTAATGTTCTTCATATGCCCTTTCAACCTTCTATATTGTGTGCCTAACCGTTTTATATCTCTCATGCTCACCAGTCCACGTGAGTTTTTGTTCCTATATTTGTTTGGCACCACTCCTCCTTTGCTTTATAAATGATATTGCATGATGTTCGAAAGCAGGAACAGTTATCTGCTATTTTCACTTAAAACATTACACAGGAAACATTGCGCGGGATTTCTTAGATGAGCATATTGCATAAAGTTTAAAAAATATTCAGACCTTTCAAGCATATGTAGTACTGCAAATGTATTTCTCTCTATTATTTCATTAATTAGTTCTCTCTGCGATGGAACAACTTCTCCTGGACAACAATCATCCTGAAATTTCATGTGTGTCTAGATGGGACGACAAACTTCACCCATGGTTACCCTAGCTTTGCAGTTTCCATAGGAGTTCTTTTCCGAGGAAATCCTGCTGCTGCAGCAGTGGTATGTCTATGCAGCTCATCTTATTATTATGTTTTAGTTTTAGTATTGCTTGTAGGGCTACTCAAGGCCGTAGACTTGCATGGATTATAGACTTGCAGTAGTTCCAGAGTCAAGTATTGATTGAATGAGAAACAACTTGACCTCTAAGGACATGTAACTTTGAATAAACAAAGTAAAGCTACCAGTTTGTTCTGAAGTTTTTCTTTTTTCTCTTTTTGGTAAGATGTTACCGTGGCTCTAGCAGTATCTTTATTGTAAATTCAGCCATTATATTCATTTACATTGCTGCTAAAATCATGAAAGTAGAATCAACTTCAAAATCGCTTGTGAATTCCAAAAACACTTGTCCCATCTTTGAATAGAGATATAAGTTGGTCCTTAAGCATGGCCAAATGGGTCAATCCGATGTGTAAAATGCCCCTACTTGTCCCTGAGTCTGTTAGGAAAGGAAATTGCTGCCCCCCACTTCATGTGGAAGTTAAGGGTTCTTAGACTGGCTTACACGTTGAAGAACTCTGATAATGAGATACTATATTTAGGTGGAGTTCGTCGGAGGCCCTATGTGCTGGAATACCCGCACGTTTTCTGCCACAGCAGGTAACTGTCTTACTCTTGTGTACGAACCCAACTATCATTGTTCATTATTTCCAATTGGGATAGTTTACTCTCATATTTTAGGTGGAGGAGCATTCTGTAATGGGCAAAAAATCTATTCAAGCAAAACGGATCTGGTGAGTAGTTGATCATAAATTGGCATTATAGGGGCAGGCTGATAATGAGTTCTTTTGTTCGCATTGCTACGTACAACTCTTTGACGTTTGTTTCTAGTTTATGAGAACGAATTTATAACCAATAATTATTGTTGAAAATTTCCCTTGCGTTGCTTCTCTACTTCAATTGTAGAAGGGAATGAGCAATTTATGTGGCTTGAGGATTTAGACAACATTGTGGTTCACCAAAAAGAAAATCTTTTTCCCCTTACAGGTGGAGCAATCTCTTCTAGTGACTGGATTTGGTTATGAGCATGATGATGCATGGGCTACTAACATAGAGTTATTTAAAGAATTTACTGATGTTAGCCGGGTACATGTTTTTTAATCCCAGCAATTATTTCTATGAGGAATAATCTCTCTCTCTCTCTCTCTCTCACACACACACACACAGTGATGTCTTTTTTTTTTATTGCCATCACTGTAATGCCTGCCTACCCCATTTAGTTGTCACCATCATATTATTCTTTTTTAATCTGTCGATACATTGTATTATTTAGGGAGTAAGAAGGCTCGGAGCAGCTGCCGTTGACATGTGCCATGTAGCTCTAGGAATCGTGGAAGCATACTGGGAGTACCGTCTGAAGCCATGGGACATGGCTGCTGGAGTTCTGGTAACGTACTCCAGATGACGAGTTTGTTTTTTGTTGAATTACAAATTTTTGCTCCTTACACTATGTGAGATTAACGTTGTTTACTTATGTGGTTCCATTGGATAAAAGGGTAAATTTAGTATCACTTTCTTTTTTCTCTTGAATGTTACTAGTGGTGCATATCAATTATTTTAGCACCCTAAGCTTCTGATTTCAGGTGGCTGTTCTATAAGCTGCTTGACCGATTATACCAAATCAAAGCTTCTGTCTCAAAGAGACAGATAAAGAGATGAAGAAAATTATGAGAATGCCCTCATATACTATTTTAGTTTTATCCCTCTAAGTCTCATATATCTTCTATCCTTGGCTCCTTACTCTCCTTATATATCCCACCAGTGGAAGTGTATGTTAGCTTATTTAATGTCTGTTCCTCTCCAAGCAGATAGTCGAAGAAGCAGGTGGGGCTGTTACTCGCATGGATGGTGGAAAGTTTTGTGTTTTCGATAGATCTGTTTTGGTATCAAACGGTGCTCTACATGGCAAGGTCGGTACTCTTTTCCAACTTAGCAATGTGAATTTAACCTAGTGCTTTGAAGGCCATGAAAGCCTTTTTTATGCTTTTGGGATTATGATATGTTTATTATGCTGAATGAGGATCTCCTCATCCTTTGATGCAATAACGTGTCCCATAGGGTGATTGCGCCTAGTCCGAACTTTCCATCTTATGTATAACTGACGACACCAGCAGTGAACTCTGGCCTTTGGCCTGTTCCTAAGTGGGGAAATGTATATCTTGAATATGGAATATGATTAATGGGATGGAGCTTACCATTTTCAGGAGGAGAAATATCCCTTTGATCGTGGGCAATCGATTAAATTGCAAAACTATACCAGAGATATTTGACTAATTTGGGTTTATTTACTTTAGTTAGTTAATATAGAATAATGGTATTAGAAGACAACAGACCTTCCAACGATATCAAGTATCGAACCGATTGGCAGGTGTGAAATTTGACGAGGTTTAAAAGCAATAAACTCCCAAAATAAGGATATGTATGAGAAATAAAACAGTCGAAGAAAAATTAAAATCACAGGTTTGAAGTTATCTGGAAACTGTTCTGCTTATTCCCATGACTATGGGGAAAGAAAAAGCAACATCATGGGCTTAGATTTTGCAATGTTGTCTATTTGCTGGACTAAATTACATTAAGAGATATTAACAGAGTCAACACGACATGTGATCTATATAATGTTAGATTGTTGAACAGCCGGAAAGGCACAGCGCATTCACAGGTACAGGTTACGCAGTTTGATTAGGGAAGGCGTGAGGCTTCACAATCTCTGCCGGTCTGCTCATGCCCCACTATTAAGAGTTTTCATATAGCATTATCTCTGCACGAGTACATCTGTTTTTTAGCATTAATACCCTTGAAAAGGTAAGCTTGTCGCCATTTATGAACCTCGGTGCATGTTTGTTGTGGTAATGGTGGAACCAAAAGCGATGTACTTTCTAGGTGCATGTGAATGGTGGAAGTCTTTTTGTCTGTTGGTAAAAACAAGCACAACTAGGGGAACTAGGAAATCCCATAGTATTATCAGCATCTGTATGCACTTATCTAGAAACACACAAGATGTTAAATGACAAGTTTCGAAATGCAGCTTCTGGACAGAATCGCGCCTGCTACAGAGAAACTGAAGGTCAAAGGAATCGACTTTTCATTGTGGTACAAGCCTGACGATTATCAGACCGACTTATGACCTGCTGAACATTTGGTCATCTCCTCCGGAAAGGGTCTCCGCTCGGAGTGCCTGTTCTTTTCTTAATAATCTTTACCGGGTCATCCAGTTCTTGAGTAATACACTGAAGGAGGCAGGAGGACAACATTCTTCATGTCTTGATTGTAATTTATTCATTCGACCGATTTATTGAAGAATGATAAAGCCTTTCTGCCCATATTCAGTCTACAGTCGTGTGTTCTTCTAGAGTCTTTCTGTCTTTATAATTGGAAGAAGAGTAATGCTACATATATTAACACACATTTACTAGATGTGACAGATTTACTTAGGCGCGAAAACAGGATTTACTAACTTGAATAATCACTAAAAGAGTGCCACTGTCATTTGGTTAACACGTTTAGTGGACAAGTCTTAATATGCCTAATATCGCTCAATCGTCTTCCATGGGATTATCAGCAGACAAATTGCATCTTTTAACGCTCTTTGCCAAGAAGTACGACACAAACATTGTTTAAGCTAATGACAACCACCAACAATAGCAGTTGATACCATGAAGAGGAAAATATGACAAAATGGCTAGGTCAAGGTCAAATTTCTCTTCGGGAATGGTGATATTTGCCATTTGCTGATTCTCCTGAGAGCAATGCATGGAGACAATTTTGCCTGTGAGGACCCAGCAGCACGAAAATTTTCGTTTTTGAGAATCAGATAACAAAAGGAAGTACTAGCAAATCGCATTTTCTAAGGCAGCACATAGTATGGTGCTGAGACTCCAGCCAAGTCTAACTGCAAAGGAACTTCTCAAGGCTTTTCCCTTTCCATGACACCAAACTTCTAGTTCTTGCTCCTCCAAGAAGAGCCCCAAGTCAAAGCAATCTCAAGAGCTGACATTATTCATAAGCTGCAGGAAGCAAACATACTGTCCAACAATCCATTAGTCATGGATATGTAGATACAATAACACCGCCATTAGCACACCAACAGATTTTTTTTTTTTTTGGTCAGAACACCAACAGACGTAAAGTGCAACAAATACTGAGTAAGAACATAAATTCACACACTCGCACACTTTTTTCTTTTCCAATTTCTCAACAATACGCACAAACAGGTTCACTCAATCACCATCGTCCACATCAGCTGTAATGATTTCTGCATAAAACACCAAGTCCTCACCCTTCAAATCTGCATGTTCAAAAGACATCATCAGCATCAGAGACCTACAACAGATATCATATATCTCACGCAATTACTACCTCCCCAAGCTACCAATCACAAAGCAAGACTAAGTTTTGGCTTCTGTACACCAAGCCAAGTGACTCATTAACCCCAATGACCGCATTCTTCAGATTACAAGGAGTCTCTACAGATTATCTGAGCAATAATAGCCATCATTATATTCATCTGCCACATATAGAATCCTTACAGCTGTACTCTACATTCAAAATGCAATAATCAAATTCATTTTAAAGAGACGAGAATCACCGCCGTGGCTCCACAAATGAACCTTATGATCACCCTTCAAAAGGATTGATATATCCGACCAAAAAAAAAAGGAATGACATAAACCAACAAGTGCACGGTGAGAGGAAAAAACTGCTACTTAGGCAATAGACTGCACAGACTAGCACTATCTTGTTATTAAAGTAAGGACACAATTGACAGGTAGATCTTGAACTGGAAAGCTTTTATAGTACAGTATCCAAAGAGAAGGTGGATTTCTAAAGGGTGAAATAACTTTACCATGTTTCATTGGCAGAAAACACTTAGTAGCACTATGATTACATTCTAGTATAAAAAGACATTCTACAGCATAAAAGTGTTCTTAGCATCAGATTTTCAGAATATAAGTGGTATTATAACAATTAAACTAAATAGCCAAGTGCAAGTCATTACCTACCTTAGTTAGACTCATCCTCTTTATGACGGTTTCTTCTGCTACTCTTCCCAGATCGCTTTGCATCCCTACCAATACGTGAGTCATCTGAGCTACTCGCTCCAGAATCAGAAGATGCAGCTACCCTCCTCCGGCTCTTCTGTCTGTGCCTCCTGCCAGCATCACCTGACTCGTCAGAGTCAGAGTCATCTGAATATCTATGACTCTTCTTCCTCCTTTTCTCGTTCTTACTCTTCCTGTGCCTTCGTCTATGCTCCTCCTCATCTGATGACTCATCCCTCTTCCTTCTCCTCTCCTTCCTCCTCTTCTTTCTTACTTCATCCTCATCCTCAGAGAGACTACTTCTTCTCCTTCCACTCTTTCTCTTCTTTGACCTCCCTCTTTTCTTTCTCTCCCCAGGATCACTGTCCGTATCATCATCTTCTGAATCATCCCTCCTCTTCTTCTTCTTCTTCAATGAATCTTCTTTGCTACCCTTACTGCTGACCTTTTTCCCCCCGCGTTTGGCAATTAACCTCTCAATCTCCGAGTCCGCATCAGAATCTGAAGACTCGCTTTCATCCTCTTCCTCACTATCCTCCTCACTCTCTGCTCCAGTCTTACCATTCAGCTTGTTAGCACTCCCCTTCAGCTTATCCAACCCAGGTAAAGATGCGAGCGCAGCCTGCACCGCCTCCGGGTCCTTTTCCGGATCATCCTTCATGCTCAGGAAGTTCCTACACTGAAACGTCAGGTGCCCGACACGGCCACACTTCTTGCACGAGCCACGGGCCTCGTCGGCATTCGACCCAGTAATACGGGCAAGAGCAAGCAGACCCTGGAAGCTCGCATACGCATTCTCGCCCTCGGGCTCCGCAACGGCTGCCTTACTGGGAACCGCGCTCTTCGAATCATCCTTGTTGGGGGCATAGGGATCATACCCAATTGCACTCTGCCAGATACCATGGGTTTGAAGGGCTGCACTGCTGTGAACCCTGTTGTTCGCAGGCATGCGAACCCTTCCCGCGGTGGCCGGCATCTTCAAAGCAGATCAAGCCCTACGAACGAGCACCCAAACAGATAAAAAAAGAAAATTATCAATACCCTTCATCCGATTTCGTCAGCATCCCAACGAATAGACCCGAAAAAACAAGAAACTGGAAACCAAACGGAAACAACAGGGTTTCTTAAACAACCAAACCATACCATACACCCATCAAGAAAACCCTAACTTGCGGACAACCCATGCGAGAGTTTTCTTATACAAGAATGTGCATAGGCCCGTCAAAATTGAAACCACACGCGACAGAGACGACGGCGGGCCCTCATCAAGACAGGGGAAGAAGGTGAAAATTTGATTGGCTTCGGCTTACACCCATCAAGATTCTACATCCGACCCACCCCAAGAAACATCAAAATCAAAAGAACAGATCACTTTGCATTCTAAACAACCAAACCACACCCCAGACACCAGCTGCAAAATTCATTAGCCATAAGAAAAAACCCTAACTTGCAGACAATCCACGCGAGAGTTTTCCGATACAAGAACGTGCATAGGCCCATCAACATCAAGACCGAGGAAGAACATGAAAAATTTGATCGGCTTCGCTTACACCCATCAAGATTCTACGTCCGACCCACCCCAAGAAACATCGAAATCAAAAGAACGGATCACTTTACATTCTAAACAACCAAACCATACCCCACATACCAGCTGCAAAATTCATTAGCCATAAGAAAAAAAACCCTAACTTGCAGACAACCCACGCGAGAGTTTTCCGATACAAGAACGTGCATAGGCCCATCAACATCAAGACCGAGGAAGAACGTGAAAAATCGATCGGCTTCGGCTTACACCCATCAAGATTCTACGTCCGACCCACCCCAAGAAACATCGAAATCAAAAGAACAGATCACTTTGCATTCTAAACAACCAAACCATACCCCAGATTACCAGCTGCAAAATTCATTAGCCATAAGAAAAAACCCTAACTTGCAGACAACCCACGCGAGAGTTTTCCAATACAAGAACGTGCATAGGCCCACCAACATCAAGACCGAGGAAGAACGTGAAAAATCGATCAGCTTCGGCTTACACCCATCAAGATTCTACGTCCGACCCACCCCAAGAAACATCGAATTCAAGAGAGCGAGATCGTCGACGAAACGTCATGGGATCGTAGGTTTTACCTGCGGTGCGGGAGCTGCCGCCGATGATGATGGCTTCGGACGGGATCGAGGTAGATCGGTTGGTGACGAGAAGCTACTGGGGGGCGAAAGCGGAGTTTCGAATTCCCTTTCGTTCCAGTAGTTTCTGAAACCAACAAAGAGGACGAGGAAAGGAGGGCGACGAAAGACATTTGACGCGCCCGACATGTTTCGGGTCGGACTCGGATTTAGCCCGATAAGACCCGAATTGTTATCTCTCGAAGAAGCCCCTACGGCCCGATCTTCGGCCCCGATCGTTTTGCGGACGATGAACGATTTGAAAAAATATTTTTCGGAAAATAATGCTTGCATGAGTTATAATAATTAATTGATAATATATATTTGGATTAATATCGCGAAAAATCCTAAATTGGTATACCTGTGATAAACTTACTCCAAACTAATTTTTTGATCACCAAAAACCTCAAACCGATACACTTGTGATAAATTTACCCCAAACTAATTTTTTGACCACCAAAAACCCCAAACTGGTACATTTGTGATAGATTTTCCCTCCGTTAAATTGAATTAAACCACGAAAAATCACAAACTGGTACACCCGTAACAAACGGACTCTAAAACATCAACCTTGTACATCCGTCAACTGCCATGTGTTATCTAATTAAGCAATTTGACTGTAAAATTTAACGAAAACTAATGGAAGATAAAATTGTCACAGTTATACTAGTTAAAGGTTTTTTGGATAAATTTATCACGTGTACCAATTTGGGATTTTTTATGGTATTAACTCAAAATATTTTTATTACCGGCAACAATATATATCCAAAGTCCAGACATTTTTCATGGATGGTGAAAATAACTTTAGTTTATTGATTTTTGTAAGCGATAAAAGTGATCATTTTTTGGAAAATGTCCTTCAAGTCATTCATTTTCGGCAAAACAAACGAAACCTTCGACTTTTTCACTTTTCTTTGCCGAATCTTTTTACCATCGCAATTCGACTTCTATCCAAATGACAAGAAAAAAGAACGAAGATTTTCAAACATTTAAATGTATCGCGCAGAAGTTAGAAGAAAATTTAAAATAGTTATTAATTTTGAAAAATTAAGACTTTTTCCACTATTAAACTTTAGAAAAGGGAGTCGTAAGGACGAGTTAGAAATGAAATGGAATATAATGAATACAAAATGATAAAACGGAAGAGAAAGTGATTTGAAATGGACAGTACCTATGTATTTCGCACTATTTTTCTCTACCATATCGGAATTTCGGGCTTGTTTTATCCTATACTATTTATTAATATTAAATATCATATCAAAACTAATAATACAACATAAAACATAATCTCTTTTATCATATCATATGGGCGAGCTAGAGGCCCTTGCTCAAGATCACCGATCTGCACCAATTGATCAAGCCTAGAATTTTTTACCAGGCTTGCGAAATGCCCGTATGTTGATCAGGTCTAATCCGGACATTAGTTTCAGTTTTCGGTTGAATAGAAAGAGCAAGCGAGGATTGGTAAAAAAAAATGTCAATATTACTCTATTATAGAAAGAGGAGAAAAATGAGATCTTCTAAACATTAATTCTTCACCTCTCTCCTTTGTAACCCCTTGAGTCCGAAAATTTAAATAAAAAATTCGTAAGATCTCGCAATGCTATATATATGTGAGATCTACCCAAATGGTCACTGTGTAGCGTGAATACTCAAAGTATCTCTTTCAAAGGCTTTCCCTACACGAACCGGATCGGATCGTTACACATGAACACTCATTCTCACGTGTGTTCGGCCAATGCCTCGGGAGAATTGTGATATTCGATATATGAAACGAGTCAGGTAGAGCAAACATAACAGAGTTATATTGACATGAGAAAGCAACATACGTAACGGTACTAATTTCCACGAATATTATTTCGACGGTCGCATTTTTTTTCTCCCCAAATGTAAATGCAAAATTTATTCTCATTAACATTTAACCCAAAGAGACCACTCATTTTTATTGAAATGACCATGGGAAATTACACTAGAAAAAGCACTAATAAGGGCAACCCCACCAACTGAAGTGCTTATTACAAATATAACGATTCTTTCTTTTAGGCACTTTTACATAATCTCATGAGGTTGATTATTTATTTATTTATCTATTTATTTATGTAGTTTTTGGGCCTAATGAGAACTCCCTTGAGGACAAGCCCGCTCTTCCAATGGTCACTATGCTCGTACATGAACACCTCCATCTGCCCCTCCTTATACTCTGATGTGCTCACCTCTCCCGCTTTGATCTCTATCCATTGATCCTTCGGCTTCTCCTTCAGATTCACCTTGTGCTCTTTCTTGGTCCCGTCCGGGAGAGTCACCCCGAAGTTCACCGGAACCTCCCACCCGTAACCCGACGATTTTAGCTTGATCACGAAGACCGCCTCGTAGGTCGTCGCCGGGGACAGGTTCGACAGGTCGAACTTGCCGCGCACATCCAGCCAGCGCACTTTGAGCAGCTCGGCCATTTCCACCAGGACCCCGTCGCTGCGAAACTTTGACGGTGATTGTTAGGGTAGATTATCACAACATGATGAAGCAAGCGTAGAACGAAATGAGTTCATGGTACTGGTGAAATCAGGTGTGCTTTTCACCTGGATGCATCTTCCTCGGTCACCCATTTCCAGCAAGAGGGGTCGTCAGAAAAAGCGATGGAGAGGTCCCGTGCATATTTCATGAAGCAATTCGTCATCGATTTCTTTTCCACCCAGTATTTCTGCCACCATATCAATTTAAACAGGACAACATCACATGCCTAATTTGCTCGCCCACTTCTCCCATCTTATCGAAAATCAAAAGGTAATCGAAAGACATATTCGCCGATTTACCGAAATGGCGCGCAAAAAAAAAAGCGAACGAGTTGCTTTCAGAACCGGTATATGCGGGGCGCCGTGAGCTCGTGTTCCGACAGTCATGCGTCTTTTGATGTGGATTTCAGCAAGGAAAAAGCATATGGAGTGGAGTGTGACTTACCACGGTCCTATTGTGTAAGAAAACACCAGCACGGAGCTGATCATACAGTTTCTCCAGGGGGATGTCACCGTGAATTGCTGGTGAATCAGACCCCCTCAAAATGGATCGATACCGATGGGGATGACACTGTACTTCCATGGCTTCCGATGCTCTCTCTGGCTTGGACTTCTCTTTAGTGATGATAATCTCTCTCACAGGGTCTTCTCTCCCGATATCTCAAGCTTCCTCTTGCTCCACTATATATACACAGCATCATTGTGACTTGTGACAAGACTTTATTCCCATCTTGTGGATGAACTCCAAGGGGAACAAAATGGCTCTTTCCATCTTTTAGCGAATCTTCAAGTGGATAAAAAGTAAATATTCCTTAAGGTTCTACTAAAGCAAGGTCTTTCTGCAGATATATCTCTCCCCCAAGACTTTATTCCCATCTTGTGGATGAATTCCAAGGTGAATAAAATGGCTCTTTCCATCTTTTAGCCAAGTGGATAAAAAGTGAATATTCCTTAACCGACCTTTAAGAAAAGGTTCTACTAAAGCAAGGTCTTTCGGCAGATCTCTCCCCAAGTTCTTGAAATTTTGGAATTAGCAAGTTGTAGGAATGAATGCAATTTGATGTGCTATTGCTAGCATGAGGGCGTAATAACACGGCGGCGTCGCGATCTGGGGAACTAACTTTGGATTAGCGAAAACAATGTTTATGGCAAACTACCAAAAAAAACACTCTCAAGGGCAATTCTAACTAATGTCGGATCGTCATGAAGATTCTGATATCGATCGAATCACAAACGCGTGGCCATGCCAGTGTATTTTTCTAATATTCCTTCCAACTTGAGATGTATTACGGCATTTTTGTAGGGAGAAAGAATGAAAAGGAACGTATCATTGCATAATTCCGAATTGTTATTAGAGAGAGAGAGACAGAGACAGAGACAGAGGCTGCGCTATTTGACAGTAACTGGTAGTGAATGTACTAAACACTGCTTAAATACGCTATGCACTTGCCGACGATTCACCAACAATTCAGCACTGTACTAAGCACCAACCTATACTCTCCATGAATTTCAATCTACTTCACAGTCCCTGTTGATGAATGCCAGTCTCAAGTTTCAGAACTCAAAGGATCTTGAACAATCTACCTTGTGATATAGAGATTGGCCGATGGCCACGTCCGCTAAAAGCTAAAGATGGGACGCGATGAGCTCCTACCTATATCTTCCGGGGGAAGATATAACTAGATGAATGAGATATGTATGTAAATATATCTTAGCTCTCCGGATCAGTGAACCTGGGGCTTTCAAGTTCTCCCATGCTTGCAGAAGCAAACGACTCGATGGATTCAACCGTCGAAAGAGAAGAAGCAGACTCATCAGAATCGGAGATGATATCGTCATGTACGATGTGGTCCTCGTCAATTTCAGAGGTGTCTTAACCCGATGTTCCCAGAAGCTTGTTTATTGCCGATTTTGCAGTTTCAACAAACCATTCATCCTCCGGGAGTGTACTGCAAAAACAGGAGAGGGGAGAGGGGGAGAAAGCAGTATTTAGCTTTTAAGTCATACGGGGAGAGAGAGAGAGAGATAGCATTGAATGATACCTCTGAGGGTCTATGCCTCTAGCAGAAAACGTCCTGATTGCACGGGCAATGATGGCTGATGCAATCTGGTGCGCATGCCGAGATGGATAGCCAACGAAGCGCGCTACTTCAACGGTGAAGTGCATATCAAGAATCAACTGCATCAAATCGACCACATGAACGGAGCAAATTAGTATCGCGTTATCTTCAAACCAAAATAATCTGAACCAAGTGGATAATAAGAAACAACAATAAGACCTTCAGATAACCATAAACATCAAAAGAAACCAGCAGAATGTCAACCAAACAGGTTTAAGAGGACTTTACAGATACCACAATGGAAGCAACAAAATAGCTAAGGACTTCGCTTTATTTGAACAACGGATAGCAGAAAAAAATAGTTTGCATCACCTATTAAGACAAGCGCTAGAATAAGAGAGAGACATACCACTACATGTTCGAAAGTATGCAGTATTAAATTAATTTGGGATCTAATAGACCCATAATCGGAATATCAGTTGCTCAACAGATGAACAGAATGAAGCAATCAAATTTTCCCAGTCATCTGGACATGACACGAGTTCTCAGCTATCCAACGCTGCATGTAGTCTTATGATTGTTAAAACTAGTACTTAAGTGAAGACTAATAGCTGGCCGACATCCTATGATAAGCTTTCGCCATGCTAGTAATATAGCAGTATCAGTTACGAAAATAGAAGTAACAATCTTTATGTTGAGGCTTCAGACAAGAGGCAAATTCGATGTCCATAGGTGTGCCACCAGTAAAAGCATGGAAATCAAGGACAACGCTAATCCTCGAGTAGGAGTTTTTCTGGTGCCGGAAGCAAAAATATATAGATAGTGATCAGCAAATTTTTTTCGAAGCAGCTCATCTGAACACGCTTCAAGTCCATCCACTATTATAGAGATAAGAGGGCACAAAATCTCCTAATTCTCCCCAAACATCTTTGGTTTTACATGTATCTAAGAGGAAATGTCATGTACAGAAGGGAATGCTTTTCTTTATATTTTACGAAGATCACGAACTAAGATAAGTGCCCGAATGACTTAACTACTTCTCGCATTTCGGTAATCCTTGTTTAGCACGCACACAGAAGGAAATAAAACAAAAAAGGAAAAAAAATGTCATGAATCAGATACCTGTTGCAAACCAAGTGGCTGAATAGCAGATGAATCATCTTCAAATGCAGTCCAGAAATCCTGCTCTTCAGACAACCACATCACCACTGTTTCTGTAAGCCTGGCGAGCAATATCTTTTGTATTTTATCTCTTCCAAGTAAAACATCTCCAGCTACAGTAGCTAACTGCTGCAACTTTGCAAATAAAGCCTGCAGCAACATCATCGACATATATTGTCCATCAGAAAAGAAAATAAGGTGAGAAAATTCTATATTTTGTTTTGGCATCATCAAGATATTTTGTTTTTCCCGCTGCGATGTTTATGTTAGAGGCCATGCTCAAAATTATCTCTCAAAAGTTGTCGTTACCAAGCATCATCCAAACATGAGTACAATAAAAATCAAGACAGCACAGCCAGAAGCACAAGCCACCATGAATAAATTCTAATAGACTAGTTAAACATGTAAGAAGAGACAACTTTCTTTTTCGGGCAGAAAACCAAGGACATCTATATTGGAAGTAAAAGTACCTGAAAGGGAAGTGATGGCAGGGGATCAGAATCCCAATACTGATCTTCCCCATTCTCGCTCAAATATATTTGTGCGTGCAATCGTGTTTTTCCTTCTCTTGAATAGATGAAACTCAAGACATATTGCCTGCAGAAATGATCTCTAAGCTTGTCAAACGAATGTTGTAGGTGGCGCCTCCACTCCTTTACTTCCACTGGAATGGGTGTACTCGGAGAAGCATTTTCCATGGCTCCGGCCCTTTGTTCCTTGCTTTCATTCTGTGGATTTCAGAGGTTCCAGATGGCATCTGGCAACAGTTCATCAGCTATAGTGTAAGCCATTCCCAGGAGCGCAAGCTGCTGTGAATCCAAACTAATTTTTTGACCACCAAAAAATCCAAAACGGATACAGCTGTGACAGATTTACCCAAACTAATTTTTTACCATCAAAAAACTTCAATCTGGTACATTTGTACCAAATTTTATCCTTCGTTAAATTGAATTAAATTACAAAAAACCACAAACCGGTACACTTATAACAAACGGAGGCTAAAACCCCAAACTTGATTATCCGTCAACTGCCACGTGTCATCCAACTCAGAAATTTGATAGCAAAATTTAACGAGAACGGAAAATAAAATTGTTACGGTTATACTAGTTCAAGGTTTTTTTTGTAATCAAAAAATTAGTTTGAGATAAATTTATAACGTGTACAAATTTAGAGTTTTTTTGTGATATTAACCCGAAATATTATCATTACCGACAACAATATATATCCAAAGTCCAGACATTTTTCATAGATGGTGAAAATATTTTTCTTTTATTAATTTTTGTAAGAAATAAAAGCGATCATCTTTAGGAAAATATTTTTTAAGTCATTTATTTTCAGCGAAACAAACTAAGCATTCCACTTTTCACTTTTCTTTGTTGAAACTTTTTACCATCGCAATTCAACTTCTATTCAAATGAGAAGAAAAAAGAACGGAGATTTTCAAGCATTTAAATGTAGCGCGCAAAAGTTAGAAGAAAATTTAAAATATTTATTAATTTTGAAAAATTAAGACTTTTTCCACTATTAAACTTTAGAAAAGGAAGTCGTAAGGACGAGTTAGAAATGAAATGGAATATAATGAATACAAAATGATAAAACGGAAGAGTAAGTGATTTGAAATGGACAGTACCTATGTATTTCGCACTATTTTTTCTCTACCATATCGGAATTTCGGGCTTGTTTTATCCTATACTATTTATTAATATTAAATATCATATCAAAACTAACAATACGACATAAAACATAATCTCTTTTATCATATCATATGGGCGAGCTAGAGGCCCTTGCTCAAGATCGTCGATCTGCACCGATTGATCGAGCCTAGAATTTTTTACCAGGCCTGCGAAATGCCCGTATGTTGATCAGGTCTAATCCGGACATTAGTTTCAGTTTTCGGTTGAATAGAAAGAGCAAGCGAGGATTGGTAAAAAAGAAATGTTAATATTACTCTATTATAGAAAGAGGAGAAAAATGAGATCTTCTAAACATTAATTCTTCACCTCTCTCATTTGTAACCCCTTGAGTCCGAAAATTGAAATCGAAAATCGGTAAGATCTCGCAATGCTATTTATATGTGAGATCTACCCAAATGGTCACCGTGTAGCGTGAATACTCAAAGTACCTCTTTCAAAGGCTTTCCCTACACGAACCGGATCGGGTCGTTACACATGAACACTCATTCTCACGTGTGTTCGGCCAATGCCTCGGGAGAATTGTGGTATTCGATGTATGAAACGAGTCAGGTAGAGCAAACATAACAGAGTTATATTTACATGAGAAAGCAACATACGTAACGGTACTAATTTCCACGAATATTATTTCGATGGTCGCATTTTTTTTCCCCAAATGTAAATGCGAAATTTATTCTCATTAACATTTAACCCAAAGAGACCACTCATTTTTATTGAAATGACCATGGGAAATTACACTAGAAAAAGCACTAATAAGAGCAACCCCACCAACTGAAGTGCTTATTACAAATATAACGATTCTTTCTTTTAGGCACTTCTACATAATCTCATGAGGTTGATTATTTATTTATTTATCTATTTATTTATTTATTTATTTATTTGTTCGGGCCTAATGAGAACTCCCTTGAGGACAAGCCCGCTCTTCCAATGGTCACCATGCTCGAACATGAACACCTCCATCTCTCCCTCCGTATACTCTGATGTGCTCACCTCTCCTGCTTTGATCTCTATCCATTCCCCGTTCGGCTTCTTCTGCAGATTCACCTTGTGCTCTTGCGTGGTCCCGTCCGGGAGAGTCACCCCGAAGTTCACCAGATTCTCCCACCCGTAACCCGACGGTGTTAGCATGATCACGAAGACCACCTCGTAGGTCGTCGCCCGGGACAGGATCGACACATCGAACTTGCGGCGGCGCGCATCCAGCTCGCACACTTTGAGCAGCTCGGCCATTTCCACCAGGACCCCGTTGCTGCGAAACTTTGACGGTGATTGTTAGGGTAGATTATCACAACATGATGAAGCAAGCGTAGAACGAAATGAGTTCATGGTACTGGTGAAATCAGGTGTGCTTTTCACCTGGGTGCATCTTTCTCGGTCACCCATTTCCAGCAAGAGGGGTCGTCAGAACAAGCGATGGAGAAGCCCCGTGCATACATCATGAAGCAATTCTTCTGCGATTCCTTTTCCACCGAGTATTTCTGCCACCATATCAATTTAAACAGGACAACATCACATGCCTAATTTGCTCGCCCACTTCTCCCATCTTATCGAAAATCAAAAGGTAATCGAAAGACATATTCGCCGATTTTACCGAAATGGCGCGCAAAAAAAAAAGCGAACGAATTGCTTTCAGAACCGGTATATGCGGGGCGCCGTGAGCTCGTGTTCCGACAGTCATGCGTCTTTTGATGTGGATTTCAGCAAGGAAAAAGCATATGGAGTGGAGTGTGACTTACCACGGTCCTATTGTTTAAGAAAACACCAGCACAGAGCTGATCATACAGTTTCTCCAGGGGGATGTTAGCGTGAATTGCTGGTGAATCAGACCCCCTCAAAATGGATTGATACTCATGGGGATAACACTGTCCTTCCATGGCTTCCGATGCTCTCTCTGGCTTGGAGTTCTCTTTAGTGATGATAATCTCTCTCACAGGGTCTTCTCTCCCGATATCTCAAGCTTCCTCTTGCTCCACTATATATACACAGCATCATTGTGACTTGTGACAAGACTCTATTCCCATTCTTGTGGATGAATTCCAAGGGGAACAAAATGGCTCTATCCATCTTTTAGCGAATCTTCAAGTGGATAAAAAGTAAATATTCCTTAAGGTTCTACTAAAGCAAGGTCTTTCTGCAGATATATCTCTCCCCCAAGACTTTATTCCCATCTTGTGGATGAATTCCAAGGTGAATAAAATGGCTTTTTCCATCTTTTAGCCAAGTGGATAAAAAGTGAATATTCCTTAACCGACCTTTAAGAAAAGGTTCTACTAAAGCAAGGTCTTTCTGCAGATCTCTCCCCAAGTTCTTGAAATTTTGGAATTAGCAAGTTGTAGGAATGAATGCAATTTGATGTGCTATTGCTAGCATGAGGGCGAAATAACACGGCGGCGTCGCGATCTGGGGAACTAACTTTCGATTAGCGAAAACAATGTTTATGGCAAACTACCAAAGAAACACTCTCAAGGGCAATTCTAACTAATGTCGGACCGTCATGAAGATTCTGATATCGATCGAATCACAAACGCGTGGCCATGCCAGTGTATTTTTCTAATATTCCTTCCATATTGAGATGTATTACGGCATTTTTGTAGGGAGAAAGAATGAAAAGGAACGTATCATTGCATAATTCCGAATTGTTATTAGAGAGAGAGAGACAGAGACAGAGAGAGAGGCTGCGCTATTTGACAGTAACTAGCAGTGAATGTACTAAACACTGCTTAAATACGCTATACACTTGCCGACGATTCACCAACAATTCAGCACTGTACTAAGCACCAACCTATACTCTCCATGAATTTCAATCTACTTCACAGTCCCTGTTGATGAATGCCAGTCTCAAGTTTCAGAACTCAAAGGATCTTGAACAATCTACCTTGTGATATAGAGATTGGCCGATGGCCACGTCCGCTAAAAGCTAAAGGCGGGACGCGATGAGCTCCTACCTTTATCTTCCGGGGAAGATATAACTAGATGAATGAGATATGTATGTAAATATATCTTAGCTCTCCGGATCAGTGAACCTGGGGCTTTCAAGTTCTCCCATGCTTGCAGAAGCAAACGACTCGATGGATTCAACCGTCGAAAGAGAAGAAGCAGACTCATCAGAATCGGAGATGATATCGTCATGTACGATGTGGTCCTCGTCAATTTCAGAGGTGTCTTAACCCGATGTTCCCAGAAGCTTGTTTATTGCCGATTTTGCAGTTTCAACAAACCATTCATCCTCCGGGAGTGTACTGCAAAAACAGGAGAGGGGAGAGGGGGAGAAAGCAGTATTTAGCTTTTAAGTCATACGGGGAGAGAGAGAGAGAGAGATAGCATTGAATGATACCTCTGAGGGTCTATGCCTCTAGCAGAAAACGTCCTGATTGCACGGGCAATGATGGCTGATGCAATCTGGTGCGCATGCCGAGATGGATAACCAGCAAAGCGCGCTATTTCAACGGTGAAGTGCATATCAAGAATCAACTGCATCAAATCGACCACATGAACGGAGCAAATTAGTATCGCGTTATCTTCAAACCAAAATAATCTGAACCAAGTGGATAATAAGAAACAACAATAAGACCTTCAGATAACCATAAACATCAAAAGAAACCAGCAGAATGTTAACCAAACAGGTTTAAGAGGACTTTACAGATACCACAATGGAAGCAACAAAATAGCTAAGGACTTTGCTTTATTTGAACAACGGATAGCAGAAAAAAATAGTTTGCATCACCTATTAAGACGAGCGCTAGAATAAGAGAGAGACATACCACTACATGTTCGAAAGTATGCAGTATTAAATTAATTTGGGATCTAATAGACCCATAATCGGAATATCAGTTGCTCAACAGATGAACAGAATGAAGCAATCAAATTTTCCCAGTCATCTGGACATGACACGGGTTCTTAGCTATCCAACGTTGCATGTAGTCTTATGATTGTTAAAACTAGTACTTAAGTGAAGACTGTTAGCTGGCCGACATCCTATGATAAGCTTTCGCCATGCTAGTAATATAGCAAGATCGATTACGAAAATAGAAGTAACAATCTTTATGTTGAGGCTTCAGACAAGAGGCAAATTCGATGTCCATAGGTGTGCCACCAGTAAAAGCATGGAAATCAAGGACAACGCTAATCCGCGAGTAGGAGTTTTTCTGGTGCCGGAAGCAAAAATATATAGATAGTGATCAGCAAATTTTTTTTCGAAGCAGCTCATCTGAGCACGCTTCAAGTCCATCCACTCTTATAGAGATAAGAGGGCACAAAATCTCCTAATTCTCCCCAAACATCTTTGGTTTTACATGTATCTAAGAGGAATTGTCATGTACAGAACGGAATGCTTTTCTTTATATTTTACGAAGATCACGAACTAAGATAAGTGGCCGAATGACTTAACTACTTCTCGCATTTTCGGTAATCCTTGTTTAGCACGCACACGAGAAATAAAACAAAAAAGGAAAAAAATGTCATGAATCGATACATTTTGCAAACCAAGTGGCTGAATAGCAGATGAATCATCTTCAAATGCAGTCCAGAAATCCTGCTCTTCAGACAACCACATCACCACTGTTTCTGTAAGCCTGGCGAGCAATATCTTTTGTATTTTATCTCTTCCAAGTAAAACATCTCCAGCTACAGTAGCTAACTGCTGCGACTTTGCAAATAAAGCCTGCAGCAACATCATCGACATATATTGTCCATCAGAAAAGAAAATAAGTTTAGAAAATTCTATATTTTGTTTTGGCATCATCAAGATATTTTGTTTTTCCCGCTGCGATGTTTATGTTAGAGGCCATGCTCAAAATTATCTCTCAAAAGTTGTCAGTACCAAGCATCATCCAAATATGAGTACAACAAAAATAAAGACAGCACAGCCAGAAGCACAAGCCACCGTGAATAAATTCTAATAGACTAGTTAAACATGTAAGAAGAGAACTTTCTTTTTCGAGCAGAAAAGCAAGGACATGCTATATTGGCCCGAGCTAAACTGTACCGCCTCGCCGCGCGCAATGCTCGTCGGTGCCGTGGCCGTCAGGCTCCGCGCACCGCCCAGCTGCCCGTCTCCGCCCTGCCACCGCTGCCTCGCCGGGCCTCCCCTCCACCGACCAGCCCCCTCGCGCCGTGTTCATCGTGACCCGGTGCTGCTCAGTTCGCCGATCAGCCCAACTCCGCCGTCCAGCACGCTACCGCTGTCGCGGGTCACCGTCGCCCCAGCCCTGCCCAGTCGCACGTTGCCGTCGCCCCAGCCAGATAGCTCGCGACCGCGCGTGCAGCTCGCCGGTGCTGCTCAGCCGCTTGCCGGCCGGCCCTGCGTCGCCAGCAACCGCCGCCGTGCTGCCCCGTCGCCGCCGGCTCGAGGCTCGCCACCCCCAGCTCTCTCTCTCCCTCTTTCTCGCCACCACCACTCCGGCCAGCTTCCCTCTCCCCTCCGCGCGTCGCCGTCGCCGAGCTTATCGCCGCCGTCGCCTAGCCGGCGCCGTCTTCGTCCCCAGCCGTGCCGTCGCCGGCCAACCAGCCCAGTCCAGCCCGTGGCCAAGGCGCCCAGGCCACTGACCAGCCGCTGCCTGGGCCATGGCCGAGCCCGTTGCCCACGCGTCCCGGCCGTTTGCCCGCGCCCGTGCCCGCGCCGTGCCTGTGCCCAGCCGTGACCGAGAATTTTGCCCGTGGCCGAGCCCATGGCCGAGCCCCGCGCTCGTCGCGCGCCCTCGGCGCGTCGAGACACCGCCGTTCCGACCGGGCCATTCCGGGCCATAGTAGATTTTTCCAGGCTAAAAACCAGTAAGTGACCTCCTATTCCTTATTTAGGATTATGGGTATTTTTAGATTTGTTTAGGATGTGCTTGGTATCGGGTTAGGAATTAAATTAGGCGTGGGCTAATTTGGTGATTGTGCTCAATTTGTGAATTATTGTGGCGGTAATTGTGTGGCTAATTTAGTGATTGAGTGAGATAAATAGCATGGCTTGAATTGTCGTGGCGCTTGTGGGTGAATTGGATTAATTGAATGTGTTGACTTGAATGTCGAAATCGTGAGCTTGTGATTTGAAATTGGGATGATTGTGGGTGCATATTTGTGGCTATTGTGGTGAGTCAATGATTAGGTGCGGAATTGCATGAATAGGGAGTGGCGGGCCTTAGGATTTAATTCGGGCAATATTTATTGGAAATTCGAAAATAACAGGGGCTGTGGTCTACTGTTCATGGGGCCGTGATGGGTCGATCGGGACGCAAGTTGGATTTTTATAACCGAGAATTTATGGTGAGAAAGTCCCGTGAAGGACCAAATCGATTTGGCGTCGTTTGGTGGAAGAAAAATAACGATTTCGGTATTAACGGACTAATGTTTTGCAAATTTTGGGGTTTGTTTCATGGGCGAGATTTATCGAGTTCACCTTGGGTGAAATTATGGCTGGAATTATGATGGTTTGGGGTTATTCAGAGAGTAAATAAGGGCTGCCTACGAGAAGTATACATGCTGGAATTTGTGGTTCGAGAATAATGTGTTTATGGCTTGATTGTGGTGTATATGTGTTGGATTGTTGTGTGAGGTCATGGCTGAATTGTGAGGGTCCTTGTGACTGAAATTAGTTGCGATTGATTGATGGTGTATATGTGTGTTTATGAGCTGTGATATTGATGTGTTATTGAAAAACTGTACGTGTCGATTATCATGGATTAAAGGAAGGAAATTCGGAATTGTTTGTGAAAGGTTGGACTGAATTGATTTAGTTGAAATTTGGGCATGTTTATGTGATATTTGAGCATGTGGGTATGTATGAATTTACGTGGAGCGAAGTGTGTGTGATCACTAAAAACCCTGAGATGTTTAACGTGGGGTCCAGATAAAATATAGTGTGTGGTATGCTCGTTTGATCACATAATCCCTTAGGCGTTTAACACGTCGCGTTCAATGATCGACCATCGAGGGATGATCGCGCACTCGTAGGGTGCGGGGCATGACAAGATAAGAGGGCACAAAATCTCCTAATTCTCCCCAAATATCTTTGGTTTTACATGTATCTAAGAGGAAATGTCATGTACAGAAGGGAATGCTTTTCTTTATATTTTACGAAGATCACAAACGAAGATAAGTGCCCGAATGACTTAACTACTTCTCGCATTTCGGTAATCCTTGTTTAGCACGCACACGAAGGAAATAAAACAAAAAAGGAAAAAAATGTCATGAATCGATGCTGTTGCAAACCAAGTGGCTGAATAGCAGATGAATCATCTTCAAATGCACTCCGAAATCCTGCTCTTGAGACAACCACATCACCACTGTTTACGTAAGCCTGGCGAGCAATATCTTTTGTATTTTATCTCTTCCAAGTAAAACATCTCCACTACAGATTACCTAGCTATTGCGACTTTGCAAATAAAGCCTGCGGCAACATCATCGACATATATTGTTCATCGAGAAAGAAAATAAGGTGAGAAAATTCTATATTTTGTTTTGGCATCATCAAGATATTTTGTTTTTCCCGCATTGCGATGTTTATGTTAGAGGCCATGCTCAAAATTATCTCTCAAAAGTTGTCATTACCAAGCATCATCCAAATATGAGTACAACAAAAATAAAGACAGCACAGCCAGAAGCACAAGCCACCATGAATAAATTCTAATAGACTAGCTAAACATGTAAGAAGAGAACTTTCTTTTCGAGCAGAAAAGCAAGGACATCTATATTGGAAGTTAAAGTACAGAAATGGAAGTGATGGCAGGGGATCGAATCCCAATACTGATCTTCCCCATTCTAGCTCAAATATATTTGTGCGTGCAATCGAGTTTTTCCTTCTCTTGAATAGATGAAACTCAAGACATATTGCCTGCAGAAATGATCTCTAAGCTTGTCAAACGAATGTTGTAGGTGGCGCCTCCACTCCTTTACTTCCACTAGAATGGGTGTACTCGGAGAAGCATTTTCCATGGGTCCGGCCCTTTGTTCCTTGCTTTCATTATGTGGATTTCAGAGGTTCCAGATGGCATCTGGCAACAGTTCATCAGCTATAGTGTAAGCCATTCCCAGGGGCGCAACCTGCTGTGAATCCAAACTAATTTTTTTACCACCAAAAAATCCAAAACGGATACAACTGTGACAAATTTACCCAAACTAATTTTTTACCATCAAAAAACTTCAATCTGGTACATTTGTAACAAATTTTACCCTTCGTTAAATTGAATTAAATTATAAAAAACCACAAACTGATACACTTATAACAAAAGGAGGCTAAAACGCCAAACTTGATTATCCGTCAACTGCCACGTGTCATCCAACTCAGAAATTCGATAGCAAAATTTAACAAGAACGGAAAATAAAATTATTACGGTTATACTAGTTCAAGGTTTTTTTGTAATCAAAAAATTAGTTCGAGATAAATTTATAACGTGTACAAATTTGGAATTTTTTGTGGTATTAACCCAAAATATTATCATTACCGCCAACAATATATATCCAAAGTCCAGACATTTTTCATAGATGGTGAAAATATTTTTCTTTTATTAATTTTTGTAAGAAATAAAAGCGATCATCTTTAGGAAAATATTTTTTAAGTCATTTATTTTCTGCGAAACAAACTAAGCATTCCACTTTTTCACTTTTCTTTGTTGAAACTTTTTACCATCGCAATTCAACTTCTATTCAGATGAGAAGAAAAAAGAACGGAGATTTTCAAGCATTTAAATGTAGCGCGCAAAAGTTAGAAGCAAATTTAAAATAATTATTAATTTTAAAAAATTAAGACTTTTTCCACTATTAAACTTTAGAAAAGGAAGTCGTAAGCACGAGTTAGAAATGAAATTGAATATAATGAATGCAAAATCATAAAATGGAAGAGAAAGTGATTTGAAAGGGACCTTACCTGTGTATTTTACACTATTTTTCTATACCATACCAGAATTTTGGGCTTGTTTTATCCTATACAATTTATTAACATCAAATATCATATCGAAAATGATAATACGACATAAAATATAATCTCTCTAATCATATCTTATGGGCGAGCAAGAGGCCCTTGCTCAAGATTGCCGATCGCTCGCCGATCGCGGCACCCACTGATCGAGCCTAGAATTTTTTACCAGGCTAGCGAAACGTCATTTTGTTAACCAGGTCTAATTCGAACATTAGTTTCAGTTTTCGGTTGAATAGAAAGAGCAAGCGAGGATTGGTAAAAAAGAAATGTTAATATTACTCTATTATAGAAAGAGGAGAAAAATGAGATCTTCTAAACATTAATTCTTCACCTCTCTCATTTGTAACCCCTTGAGTCCGAAAATTGAAATCGAAATCGGTAAGATCTCGCAATGCTATTTATATGTGAGATCTACCCAAATGGTCACCGTGTAGCGTGAATACTCAAAGTACCTCTTTCAAAGGCTTTCCCTACACGAACCGGATCGGGTCGTTACACATGAACACTCATTCTCACGTGTGTTCGGCCAATGCCTCGGGAGAATCGTGATATTCGATATTTGAAACGAGTCAGGTAGAGCAAACATAACAGAGTTATATTTACGTGAGAAAGCAACATACGTAACGGTACTAATTTCCACGAATATTATTTCGATGGTATTTCGATTCGATTTTTTCCCCAAATGTAAATGCGAAATTTATTCTCATTAACATTTAACCCAAAGAGACCACTCATTTTTATTGAAATGACCATGGGAAATTACACTAGAAAAAGCACTAACAAGAGCAACCCCACCAACTGAAGTGCTTATTACAAATATAACGATCCTTTCTTTTAGGCACTTCTACATAATCTCATGAGGTTGATTATTTATTTATTTATCTATTTATTTATTGAGTTTTTTTGGGCCTAATGAGAACTCCCTTGAGGACAAGCCCGCTCTTCGGATGGTCACCATGCTCGTACATGAACACCTCCATCTGCCCCTCCTTATACTCTGATGTGCTCACCTCTCCTGCTTTGATCTCTATCCATTGCCCCTTCGGCTTCTCCTTCAGATTCACCTTGTGCTCTTGCTTGGTCCCGTCCGGGAGAGTCACCCCGAAGTTCACAGGATCCTCCCACCCGTAACCCGACTGTGTTAGCTTGATCACGAAGACCACCTTGTAGGTCGTGTCCCGGGGACAGGTTCGACACTTCGAACTTGCCGCGCACATCCAGCCAGCACACTTTCAGCAGCTCGGCCATTACCACCACAACCCCGTTTCTGCGAACTTTGACGGTGATTGTTACGGTAGATTATCACAACATGATGAAGCAAGCGTAGAACGAGTAGAGTTCATGGTACTGGTGAAATCTGGTGTGCTTTTCACCTGGGTGCATGTTCCTCGGTCACCCATATCCAGCAAGAGGGGTCCTCAGAACAAGCGATGGTGAAGCCCCGTGCATACATCATGAAGCAATTCTTCTGCGATTCGTTTTCCACCGAGTATTTCTGCCACCATACCAATTTAAACAGGACAACATCACATGCCTAATTTGCTCGCCCACTTCTCCTATCTTATCGAAAATCAAAAGGTAATCGAAAGACATATTCGCCGATTTTACCGAAATGGCGCGCAAAAAAAAAAGCGAACGAATTGCTTTCAGAACCGGTATATGCGGGGCGCTGTGAACTCGTGTGCCGACAGTCATGCGTCTTTTGATGTGGATTTCAGCAAGGAAAAAGCATATGGAGTGGAGTGTGACTTACCACGGTCCTATTGTGTAAGAAAACACCAGCACGGAGCTGATCATACAGTTTCTCCAGGGGGATGTCACCGTGAATTGCTGGTGAATCAGACCCCCTCAAAATGGATCGATACCGATGGGGATGACACTGTACTTCCATGGCTTCCGATGCTCTCTCTGCCTTGGAGTTCTCTTTAGTGATGATAAGCTCTCTCACAGGGTCTTCTCTCCCGATATCTCAAGCTTCCTCTTGCTCCACTATATATACACAGCATCATTGTGACTTGTGACAAGACTTTATTCCCATCTTGTGGATGAACTCCAAGGGGAACAAAATGGCTCTTTCCATCTTTTAGCGAATCTTCAAGTGGATAAAAAGTAAATATTCCTTAAGGTTCTACTAAAGCAAGGTCTTTCTGCAGGTATATCTCTCCCCTAAGACTTTATTCCCATCTTGTGGATGAATTCCAAGGTGAATAAAATGGCTCTTTCCATCTTTTAGCCAAGTGGATAAAAAGTGAATATTCCTTAACCGACCTTTAAGAAAAGGTTCTACTAAAGCAAGGTCTTTCGGCAGATCTCTCCCCAAGTTCTTGAAATTTTGGAATTAGCAAGTTGTAGGAATGAATGCAATTTGATGTGCTATTGCTAGCATGAGGGCGAAATAACACGGCGGCGTCGCGATCTGGGGAACTAACTTTCGATTAGCGAAAACAATGTTTATGGCAAACTACCAAAGAAACACTCTCAAGGGCAATTCTCACTAACGTCGGACCGTCGTGAAGATTCTGATATCGATCGAATCACAAACGCGTGGCCATGCCAGTGTATTTTTCTAATATTCCTTCCAACTTGAGATGTATTACGGCATTTTTGTAGGGAGAAAGAATGAAAAGGAACGTATCATTGCATAATTCCGAATTGTTATTAGAGAGAGAGAGAGACGGAGACCGAGACAGAGGCTGCGCTATTTGACAGTAACTGGTAGTGAATGTACTAAACACTGCTTAAATACGCTATACACTTGCCGACGATTCACCAACAATTCAGCACTGTACTAAGCACCAACCTATACTCTCCATGAATTTCAATCTACTTCACGGTCCTTGTTGATTAATGCCAGTCTCAAGTTTCAGAACTCAAAGGATCTTGAACAATCTACCTTGTGATATAGAGATTGGCCGATGGCCACGTCCGCTAAAAGCTAAAGACGGGACGCGATGAGCTCCTACCTTTATCTTCCGGGGAAGATATAACTAGATGAATGAGATATGTATGTAAATATATCTTAGCTCTCCGGATCAGTGAACCTGGGGCTTTCAAGTTCTCCCATGCTTGCAGAAGCAAACGACTCGATGGATTCAACCGTCGAAAGAGAAGAAGCAGACTCATCAGAATCGGAGATGATATCGTCATGTACGATGTGGTCCTCGTCAATTTCAGAGGTGTCTTAACCCGATGTTCCCAGAAGCTTGTTTATTGCCGATTTTGCAGTTTCAACAAACCATTCATCCTCCGGGAGTGTACTGCAAAAACAGGAGACGGGAGAGGGGGAGAAAGGAGTATTTAGCTTTTAAGTCATACGGGGAGAGAGAGAGAGAGATAGCATTGAATGATACCTCTGAGGGTCTATGCCTATAGCAGAAAACGTCCTGATTGCACGGGCAATGATGGCTGATGCAATCTGGTGCGCATGCCGAGATGGATAACGGGCAAAGCGCGCTATTTCAACGGTGAAGTGCATATCAAGAATCAACTGCATCAAATCGACCACATGAACGGAGCAAATTAGTATCGCGTTATCTTCAAACCAAAATAATCTGAACCAAGTGGATAATAAGAAACAACAATAACACCTTCAGATAACCATAAACATCAAAAGAAACCAGCAGAATGTCAACCAAACAGGTTTAAGAGGACTTTACAGATACCACAATGGAAGCAACAAAATAGCTAAGGACTTCGCTTTATTTGAACAACGGATAGCAGAAAAAAATAGTTTGCATCACCTATTAAGACGAGCGCTAGAATAAGAGAGAGACATACCACTACATGTTCGAAAGTATGCAGTATTAAATTAATTTGGGATCTAATAGACCCATAATCGGAATATCAGTTGCTCAACAGATGAACAGAATGAAGCAATCAAATTTTCCCAGTCATCTGGACATGACACGAGTTCTCAGCTATCCAACGCTGCATGTAGTCTTATGATTGTTAAAACTAGTACTTAAGTGAAGACTAATAGCTGGCCGACATCCTATGATAAGCTTTCGCCATGCTAGTAATATAGCAGTATCAGTTACGAAAATAGAAGTAACAATCTTTATGTTGAGGCTTCAGACAAGAGGCAAATTCGATGTCCATAGGTGTGCCACCAGTAAAAGCATGGAAATCAAGGACAACGCTAATCCTCGAGTAGGAGTTCTTCTGGTGCCGGAAGCCAAAATATATAGATAGTGATCAGCAAATTTTTTTTGAAGCAGCTCATCTGAACACGCTTCAAGTCCATCCACTATTATAGAGATAAGAGGGCACAAAATCTCCTAATTCTCCCCAAACATCTTTGGTTTTACATGTATCTAAGAGGAAATGTCATGTACAGAAGGGAATGCTTTTCTTTATATTTTACGAAGATCACGAACTAAGATAAGTGGCCAAATGACTTAACTACTTCTCGCATTTCGGTAATCCTTGTTTAGCACGCACACAGAAGGAAATAAAACAAAAAAGGAAAAAAAATGTCATGAATCAGATACCTGTTGCAAACCAAGTGGCTGAATAGCAGATGAATCATCTTCAAATGCAGTCCAGAAATCCTGCTCTTCAGACAACCACATCACCACTGTTTCTGTAAGCCTGGCGAGCAATATCTTTTGTATTTTATCTCTTCCAAGTAAAACATCTCCAGCTACAGTACCTAACTGCTGCGACTTCTCAAATAAAGCCTGCAGCAACATCGTCGACATATATTGTTCATCAGAAAAGAAAATAAGGTGAGAAAATTCTATATTTTGTTTTGGCATCATCAAGGTATTTTGTTTTTCCGGCTGCGATGTTTATGTTAGAGGCCATGCTCAAAATTATCTCTCAAAAGTTATCAGTACCAAGCATCATCCAAATATGAGTACAACAAAAATAAAGACAGCACAGCCAGAAGCACAAGCCACCATGAATAAATTCTAATAGACAAGTTAAACATGTAAGAAGAGAACTTTCTTTTTCGAGCAGAAAAGCAAGGACATCTATATTGGAAGTTAAAGTACCTGAAATGGAAGTGATGGCAGGGGATCAGAATCCCAATACTGGTCTTCCCCATTCTCGCTCAAATATATTTGCGCGTGCAATCGTGTTTTTCCTTCTCTTGAATAGATGAAACTCAAGACATATTGCCTGCAGAAATGATCTCTAAGCTTGTCAAACGAATGTTGTAGGTGGCGCCTCCACTCCTTTACTTCCACTGGAATGGGTGTACTCGGAGAAGCATTTTCCATGGCTCCGGCCCTTTGTTCCTTGCTTTCATTCTTTGGATTTCAGAGGTTCCAGATGGCATCTGGGAACAGTTCATCAGCTATAGTGTAAGCCATTCGCAGGAGCGCAAGCTGCTGTGAATCCAAACTAATTTTTTGACTACCAAAAAACCCAAAACGGATACAGCTGTGACAAATTTACCCAAACTAATTTTTTACCATCAAAAAACTTCAATCTGGTACATTTGTAACAAATTTTACCCTTCGTTAAATTGAATTAAATTACAAAAAATCACAAACTGGTACACTTATAACAAACGGAGGCTAAAACGCCAAACTTGATTATCCGTCAACTGCCACGTGTCATCCAACTCAGAAATTTGATAGCAAAATTTAAACGTGATTTGACTCGGTGTCGGTCACGGGTTGAGAGCGCGTAATCCTAATGAGCCACCCGTTAGCAAGAGATAAGCTAAAGTCGCGATTGGTCAATTTTAGTCATTTCTTGGAATTCGGGCCCGGGAATCGAGAATTTTGAAAAGTGATAATTTTGAGCGGCCGATGACGTTTTTGGCTTGGCCAACCTTGGGGCCACCCATTTCTGCAAAAAAAAATAGATTTCGGTCCGGGGCCGGAAAAATTACGGTTTTGCCCATGTGGACACCAATGTTGGATTTTGAAGTCGTTTGAGGTTATTTTTCGAGGCTAGCGTCATTTTGGGGTGGCCACGTGCATTTGGAACAGTTTTGGACAAAAATTGGAATTTCGACAAAAATTGGAAAAATAATATTATTTTATTCCCGGAACTTCGCAGTTGATTTTCGAGGGCTTAGAAAGTGAATTTCGCGATTCCGACACCACATTATGTTGGCCACGCACATATGGAACGCGTATGTGCGAAAATTGGAATTTCGCCCCGGGACCGGAAAATTACCATTTTGCCCCTGGGCTAATTTTTGGGTCCGAATTTTTTTTGGATAAATTGGGATAATTATGGATAAATATCAGCTGCATCCTTGGGGACCATTGACCCTTTTGCCCCTCTCTTTTTAGATAAGAATGACTAGGAACCATTTAATTAGGGGCATTTTAGTCCTTTTTACCTAAGCTTGACACATGGCACCCCTAATTAAATTATTTGACCAAGTTGGCTGATCTCTCTCTCTCCTCACTCACTCTCACGTGCAGACCAGCCTCTTCAGAAATTTTCTCCCCATTTTCCCACCTTTTCTCTCCACTTTCTCTCCATTTTCCTTCATTTTCTCTCTCGCCGGAGTTTCGCCGGAGCCACGCCGGCCAGCCGTTCCACCTTCCCGCTCTAGCCGAGTTAGTCTAGAGTCCGGTAAGTCGCGATCTAATCCCTATTTAGGACGTCGGGTATTTTCGGACTCGTTCGGGTATGGTTTAGAGGATTTAGAGGTTAATTAAGGCGTTGATAATGATTATTGGTGGTTGATCATGGTTATTGGTGGCTGAGTATGGCTGGTAGTGGTTGTTGCGGGTTGGATTAGACGTCGGGAAATGAGTTTTGGCGGTTGGAATTCGGTGGAAATCGGTTCGGGTTTGAATCCGTGAGGTTCGGGGTGAATCGCGGATTCACGGTTACTGTACCCGCCCGATTTGCTATTTTTGTAGAGAATTTTGTGGGCCGAATTTGAAGAAGGTTTCTTCATGAAAGTTGTTCACAAAATCTTGAGGTATAACATACTTTAATTTGGGAATTTTTGGAAATCATTTGATGCCATTCGGAAGTCCATCTTTGGACCGAAATAAAACTGCCCGATTTACCATTCATCCGACCTTCGGGTCTTTTCGAATTTTTATAAATTTTTCCAGGCCTATTCTCGAAACACTTCCTTCACAAAACCTGTTGGGGACATTTCTGGCTATAACATATAAAAATTTCAAAGCTTTTCAAGGTGATTTGGGTGTTGAAATAAATGTATTTTGAGGACAAAATAGTCTGTTAGAGCGAACTGATTTTGGTCTGATTTTGAGGGACAAAAAGGCATGGTTGTAGATTGAACCGGATTTCGTGTTCTTCATAAGAAATGTTTATCGGGATGTGTTTTGCGACATATCCAAAATTTAGAATTTTTGGAGTTCGTTTACTATTTATTTTGATGGGATTCCGGTCACTGTTTAGGGTTCGGTTTAGGGGATTTTGTGACTGTTTTAGGGGCTGTTTGGGGCTGAATTGAGAGACTGGTTATTTGGTGGTTGTGGACTGATTTGGCGACGAAAATTTGAGGTATAGAAAGCTTGGGTAGGACCGTGATGTTGTGACTGGATTGGGGTTGAATTGTGCAATCGATCAGTGGGAATTATGCTATGAATTGAATTGTGTACGTGGTTGTGTGATTTGTGATCGTGGGCTGATTTGGATTATGCTTGGGCTGAATGTGGATTGGTGATATGCAGTGTGTGCTTGGCCGTGAGATGTGGTGGTGTGATAGTGCATTCGCGTATTGTATTCGCGTGCCAAGAATGTGTGATTGGGTGGCGTGTTCGTGTGACGAGAATGTGAAATTGTGAAATGTGTGTGAGGTGTGCGTGTTTGGCAGTGTGTAGGTGTGGCCGTGTGACAAATGTGGTTTGAGTGGAACGAAGGTACTGGAATGTAGGATTGGTTTGAAAAGTGAGACCCTGAGGCGTGTACGTTTACGCGGGGTGAGGTCCGTCCTGAGGCGTGTACGTTTACGCGGGACGATGCCGTCCCTGACGAGGTGACGATGCCCGGCCCGACGGGGTGACGATGCCTGACGTGGTCAGAAGACCGTTGGCCTGATGCGTTTTACGCGGGCGCGGTAGAAGGAAAGTGTGTGTAGGATTCCGTCCTGAGGCGTGTTCGTTTACGCGGGACGATGCCGTCCCTGACGAGGTGACGATGTCCGGCCCGACGGGGTGTCGATGCCTGACGAGGTCAGAAGACCGTTGGCCTGATGCGTTTTACGCGGGCGCGGTAGTGGTGGAAAGGTTGAGAATGAGCGGGAATTGGCTTGAGGTGCGAGATTTGAGAAAGTGACGCGTGGTGTGAGTTGGTGTGCGAGTGTGTTTGTATCGCGTAATGTAGTGCGCGATTATGGGATAAAATCTGCTAGGCATGGTATGAGACGTGCCCAAGTAGGTTTTGCTTTATAATCGAGGCACGCGCGCGGCTGTGATGTATTGCTGTGGTATGATTGGCGTGTGTATTGATATGTGGAAAGTGTGTGATGGCATGTGTGCAAGAATTGTATGTTGGGATTGTGGGCTAACGGGCATGGTGCGTATGCAGAGAGTCCAGGTATGTGTGAATGTTTGATTGCTTGGTTGTGTGGTTGTTTGATTGCGCGTTTGGATGTGTGCGGAATTACGTGATAGCCTAGGTGGGGCTTAGGTTGTGACTTATTGAGATGTGATCTCATGGTTGTTTCAACCAAACCATTTCAGAGCCCCTGCCTGAATGTCGAGATTGAGGTCGACTTGGAGTCGTCAGGTGAGTAGACAGCTGCGGAGGATTGAGGTGGTGATGCCGAGGACAGTGAGTCAGAGTGGACGCCTTCGAGAGGGCGTAGGGGATAGTTCTGGGAGGAGGATGCGCCCCATTTTTGGATAGTGCTGACCTAGAGAGCTGATCTTGATATTTTGGTGATTTGGAGTTTATAGTTCGGTGTGCTTATAAATTATTTTGTGGTTTGTATTGGCGGATGATGTAAATATTTGGAAGTGTAATATATGCTTGGTGGTTTGACGATTTGTTCCTTCCTGGTGTTCTCCAATTTTAATGTCCGGGATTTTTTTATTGCTTCCGCCGCGAGTTAACTCTGATGGATCGTTGGGTCGGCGACGTTATTCCTGGGACGTCGCACTCTGTTCGACCGGAGGCGGGATGTCGCGGGCTCGACGAGGGTTCGGGGCGTGACATCACAACGCACATATGGAACACGTATATGCGAAAATTGGAATTTCAGTTCGGGATCGGAAAATTACGAAAATGCCCCTAAGACCATTTTATTTAATTCCGAAAATTGGTCAAAATTTTGGGGTTAACCAAGGTTAATTGGGATTAAACCAGGTCTGGTCAACCATGGTTAGGGACAAAAGACCATTTCACCCCTAAATTATTGGATTTGATCAAATCTTGTCCATTGGATCAAGGGCAAAGTGTCCAATGGGCTCAGATAATGACACATGGATTCCACTCACACCATCTTTGACCCAATTGACCAGAAATCTCTCTCTTTCTCACGCATTTCCCTGATCTGCCGAGTCCATTCTCCTCGTTTCTCTTCTTCCTCACCGTTTCTGGTTTTTGCCGTGCACTTTCGCAAGTTCGAGTGCATTCACGCCAGGAACAGTACCGGCCGGTCTTCCCGCCGAGCCAACATCACCAGCAACCATTTCCACCTCTGTGCGGCCACCACGGCCCGGGTATAGTCCAGAAACTTGACCCTCTCTCTCCTTTTTCCCTCTTTTCTCATTTTTCTGTTTTACAAACAGTACCGCCGGAGCTTCGCCGGAGCTCCGATCGCCGTTCCGTCGACACCCAGCCGTCCAGCACGTCCATACGTCGCCACCCAGCACCGTCCGTACAGTGTACGTACAGATCACTGTTCACGCCGGCCGTACGGACGCGCGGCTGTCACCGGCACCTCGCCGGCCACCGTCCCAGCCTGTCCGTATGGTGTCCGTACGGGGGTGGTACTGGTCATCGCGTCCGTACGGTACATTGTTCACGCCGTCCGTACATCGCCGACGACGCTGCTGCCGCTGTCCCGGCCCGTTCCAGCCCCGTTCTGTCTCGCCTTTTTGGGTAAGTGTCTCCCCCAAAAACTACCTAGGAGCTCGGGTATTTCTAGACTCATTTAGGACCCGGTTTAGGCGATTTTATGACTGTTTTAAGGGCTGTTCAGGACTAATTTGAGTAACTGATTATTTGGTGATTGCGGACTGATTAGGCGAAGAATTTTGAGGTTTAGGGAGCATGGATTAGGGCTGTGATGTTGAGGTTTGATCGGAATTAATTTGTGCGATTTGTGGTA